TTTTGGATTTACCTGCAGCGCGCACTGTCAGGAGTCGTCGAAAGATTGTTTAAAGAAAGGGATTATTCTGGAATTCAATGATATAGCTACATTCAATATCAAAACAAACACAATATTGCAAATTGTACGGTTTTTATATTTCTAATAAATTCCGAGATATTTGACGGAATACTAAAAAAAAAAAAGGCCGAAGAAATTGAGCCATAAAGAACCGAAAATTCCACTCCGGCCTCTACAAGGGTGGTCGGCCAGGGCCTCTTCATTTCGGACATTTTCAAGCCGATGCACGTGACGTCTGTTTTCTATCTCGAAGCAGTGGGTACCCTGGCAATAAATTAACGGGCTACGGCGAATTGGAGAAACTACGCGACGGTTCTTCCCTTGCACTTCTGCAAAGCACGTGTTATCCTGGAACCGTTGGTTTCGTTTTACCTAAATCTTGTCGTGGTGAGAGTGAACTCACAATGTAACGATGGGAAACTACTTGGGGGTAGAGGAAGCCCTTTCGGAAAAATTCTGTCAGTCGGTTAGCAATCGGGCGACAGAGATGTTCAGTTCACGGGAGTATTACGGAATCTTATGGTGGTACGTACACAATAACGGATATGCGGGTGTTGGTGTGCAAGTGTTTGGTTACGTAAAACATCTGAAAAATTGAAACCAATCGGCCCTTTCCGGGGATACGAATTTTCCTAACGTAGTAACAACACGTTGGATTAAAAATACATTAAGTGATTGTGTCGGGTGATCAGTGTTAGTGCAGTGCAGTGAAGTGAATACATATTCGATGGATTAACCCGGCGGCACTTGACGTTGCAACTCTTAACGTCGGCTGGTGTCGCATACCTGCGATCACCAGTGGCATGGACTCTACCCTGCCATAAACCATTTCGTCCGTCGATGCCCAGGCTCGGTACACTGACCTACTGACGCAGGTTTCTACGCTGCAGGTGAATTTCCGTAAGGGTGAGTTCTATTCAGTTTATTGGTCATTATTGTTTTATTAATTTCACCGAACTACAATCACTTCTCGTTTATTCTTTGTTACATTACCTTTTCGTTCACACGTTATTTGAAAAGGAAATTTACAAATTCGTAAAAAGGAATTTACAAAAATGTAAATGTGCATTCGTCTTTTTACGTTAAACATAATTTGCCTACATTTACGTTTCATTCATTAATCTCTTTAAATAACAAACGACAAATGATAAAAAGTATGATTTTATTTGTTACGTCTTGTTTATTTGCTATTATTATACGCGGTTTCCTGCGATGCATGGTGACCTACTTGTTCGGAGCATCGTAGTACAAGCGTAGCGCGTAGCCACCGCTAGCGCGGGAACTCGGCTGGCAAACTCGCGCTCTGATTGGTCGCGGTTTTTCGTTAATATCTCGTAAACGAAGCCTCAGTTTAAATTTTTGCTAAGGAAAAAGTTGTTCCAATTCACCCCCCGAGTGCCACATTTCCGGGTCGGAGGACATTTTTGGGACACCCTGTATATATATTGCGCTTCCTATGATGAAATATGCGAGTTAAACGCGACACCGTATGTGTTCCAGTCTGGGTGTCTAAGCGACAGAATAGGGTACGCACACGTGTGTGAGAAATACGTGTGAATGAAAAGGATTCCTTCCGTACAGATAACGGGCGTACGGGAATCGAATGTCTACTGCATACGTCCTTAAGGTCGATTTACACTGTACGGCACGGGCCGACACGTATCGTCACCAGCACGATAAAACATTGAAACATGCGTTTTAAGGGGGGAGACTCCGTGGGCCGTGAGCTGTGTCCGTGTGCTCACACAATCGACGGGAACCGTGTATGTATACGCGATGCACGAGAGAGACATTCGATTTCATAGAATCCAACTTCTGCCTCGATAATTGCATAAATGGGTGACTCACGGGTAGACTTCGCTACAGGGTGGTCTGGTCTTTAAAAACACCAATAAACACTATACGTTGAAAGAATTAGAATTTTAGAAATTGTGCGATTGTGACAGACGTCAATGAAAACACATAAGATGGCTGCTCCAGTCACATTTTGTCAAATATCTCACGATTTAATGGTTTTCTCGTCAAAAGCAGACCAGACCACCCTGCACACCACTATCACACTACGTAGAAATCCGATTATTGTCAATTCATCACTCCTGGAAGACAGAAGTTGGTATTTACGTTTCGATGCGTCCACACTCAGGAATAAACAGTGGTATAGTTCAAGGATTCTCCGCTAGAAGCGTTTATGGTATTTGTCAGTCACTTTGGCCATGTTACCATCGAGCATCGATAAAATAGAGGGAAGCGATAAATGTAACCTCGCAACACGTGCTGGATCGTATCGATTGTTTTGTTACGCTGTTGCCACATGTTCCCATTAGCGCCATTACAATTCTGCCCATCAGGAGAACGATGGAATACTTACGGCTACGGCCCGTGGCAAGATTTCGATTCTCGTCGAATGTAGGAAAAGAATGGCGCGACCGAAAGACAATCGAGAATAAAACAATACATACTTACGTATTAATGTGTGCAACGATAAACCTTCTCTATTCGTACTTGCAATGATGCTTATTTTTGTAATCAATGGAATTACATACGAAATACTAGAATGGAATTACATACGAAATACTAGAATTCCCGAGAAACAAATTGTAAAAATGACACAACATATATTCCGAGTATTCTATATATAAAAACATGGAATACTATACAAATCTGCTGTTTGAAATGATATTTATTTATCTTTTATTGATATAATTGATACGGGTATTATAAGCGTACACATATATTTCGTAAAAAGAATGCAAAAAGAACATTGAATGGACAAATTTATTCGATGAGAATTTATTCAACGAATAAAGATACTTTTTTTATTCGAAGAGCGTTTTGCTATTTAGCTATTTTTTTGTGCAAAATAGTTCGGAAGGTCATTAGAAATGAAATGTATATGTTGAAAATTCGTAAAATGTTGTGGGGAACATTGTTAGAAAAATTTTAAAGTTTGTGAAAAACATGCTTCTCGCGCGCAGAAGAAACTATAATGATTTCAGAGAAAAAAGGATCAAATAAAACATAGATATTTTTCATACCTACAAAATGAGATACAGTACGTTAAAATCGCTGGACATGTTCAGTTGCAAAAGAATTAAAACTGTCAAAATAAGATCTTCTTTTAATTGTTTAATACTTGGAGGGATTTGAACATAGAGTTTCGAAACTTTAGGAGAATATGGCATCCATTAAGATAAAAAAGTATGCACCTTTTGCACCCCCGCCAGGAACGGCCCTGTCTATGACTCTTCCTTACCGATGCACACAGAGTAAGGCTGTGGTCACAATGGTACCGACATCGGTCATCGGATTGTTTTCATCAGACGTCGGCCGATTTGATTGGTCACTGAGACCACGCAATGCTTCCCAGTGCGTTGAAAAGTTCAACCGATGTTGGGCGTCGGGCGAATCGCCCGAAATCGGTACCATTGGGACCACAGCCTAAAAAGAAAGGATGCACGATGTTAAAGGAACGTAACACCAATTCACGTGTATGCTGATGCTTTAACTATAGCAATTAGCTCTTCGATGTGTTTGACACAATGGTTCACACCAGAAGAAAGCACTTTTCCGTGCGGCAAAGAAAATGCGACACCTAAACCGGATACAGGTTGCGGAAAAAAATCTACCGGGAATGCAATTTTTCGATGGGACGGCTGACTGAAAGTTAGTGTCGCCATAGGCTCAGAACAAAACGCTCCCTCTCCTTTCCTTCTCACGCTTCCAGCCACTACCGCCGCCAAAGTCCCGGTTACCGATTATGTATTTTCGCTAGCATCCGTTTGTTTACATCGGCCCTTCGATCGATTCGGAGTTAATCCCAATGGAATCTCTGCCTTTAAAATCTCTCCTTTGTCTTGCAGAGAGACCAACTGGAAAAAAGAAAAGAAAACAACGATTCATGATGTTTGCCACAAAATATATATTCGTGGAATCTCGCTAATCGGCAACAGGTACTGAACTCCAATCTTCCCCGGAAGCCAGGCTATAATGTTATCGCTTCAGCCACTAAGCGTATGAAGAACCGATTCCAAATTAAGGGTTCCACTTCTTTAATATAGAACCGCTAACTCATAAAGTGGAACCGGTTCTAGTACCGGAACCGTAAAGCCACTCATAAAGTGGAACCGGTTC